TCTTATACCACAAATAACATTTCATATTTGTCGTTGTTTCTTTACCTGACGGGGAATTGGATAAGCTGACGATGACATCGGCCTTCGCCTTGCTTCTGTCTCCTCTCTTCACCTGAAGTGTGACGGATCCGATCTTCATCTCGTGCTCTCCCTGGGCTGACATTCGGACTGTTAGAGACACAGTGACAGTTAGCCCCGATGAGCCACAAAATGGCAGTGAGCTTAGAATGGAAAGTTCCGGAGTTCCTGCTGGTCAGTGAGACGATGATGTCATCGATGGCAGATCTGACCGCATCCTCTCCACTCCTGAGCTGAGCCAGCGGAGAACTTTCCAGTGTTATCTGATTCTCGGCCTCAGGATACATTTACTGACAATAGTGGAGGAACTCCGGAAACAACCCCAAATCAGGGACAGGAAGTGGTCTGGCTGTGTATTGTTTCAGGGGAGCAGAGACGGCACACTATACTACGGGGGAGCAGAGACTGCACACTATACTACGGGGGAGCAGAGACTGCACACTATACTACGGGGAGCAGAGACGGCACACTATACTACGGGGGAGCAGAGACTGCACACTATACTACGGGGAGCAGAGACGGCACACTATACTACGGGGGAGCAGAGACTGCACACTATACTACGGGGAGCAGAGACGGCACACTATACTACGGGGGAGCAGAGACGGCACACTATACTACGGGGAGCAGAGACGGCACACACTGTACTACGGGGAGCAGAGACGGCACACTATACTATGGGGGAGCAGAGACTGCACACTATACTACAGGGGAGCAGAGACTGCACACTATACTACGGGGGAGCAGAGACTGCACACTATACTACGGGGGAGCAGAGACTGCACACTATACTACGGGGGAGCAGAGACTGCACACTATACTACGGGGGAGCAGAGACTGCACACTATACTACGGGGGAGCAGAGACTGCACACTATACTACGGGGGAGCAGAGACTGCACACTATACTACGGGGGAGCAGAGACTGCACACTATACTACGGGGGAGCAGAGACTGCACACTATACTACGGGGGAGCAGAGACTGCACACTATACTACGGGGGAGCAGAGACTGCACACTATACTACGGGGGAGCAGAGACTGCACACTATACTACGGGGGAGCAGAGACTGCACACTATACTACGGGGGAGCAGAGACTGCACACTATACTACGGGGGAGCAGAGACTGCACACTATACTACGGGGGAGCAGAGACTGCACACTATACTACGGGGGAGCAGAGACTGCACACACTGTACTACGTGGGAGCAGAGACGGCACACTGTACTACGGGGGAGCAGAGACCACAAACAATACTACGTGGGAGCAGAGACGGCACAGTATACTATGGGGGGGGCAGGTATTTTGCATTATATATACTGTATATGAAAGTCACTTACCTTTCCCGGCTTCCTTGTGGCTCCCGATCTTTTTTTCAAGTTCGGCTGAGAATGCCTAATGACGGAATAGAAGGGATAGGAGGGTTTTGGTATAAGAAGGTCGATATTTTTATGTCCCCCCCCCACCTGTAGCAGATATTCGGGTTTTGTTACCGTTATGGTTTCGGGGTCTTTGGGGTGCAGCATGAAGTTCACCTCCTTCACATGGACCGGTTTGGTTTTGCTGCTGAAGTTGAGAACTTTTTCAAACATTAGAGCAGCAACAGCAGGTCTGGGAAACCCGAGAACTCCGGTCCCGACCGCCGGGAAGGTTATAGATCCCTTCTTCCTCTTCTCTGCCTCATGCAGACACTTCGTCACAATGTCACCTAAAATCTGTTGAATAGAATGCTGCTATTAGCTGATGTGTAACCATAATAATAATAATATATAAATGTTCATTTTGATCCTGACAGAAATGGCGTATCCTTGCCACTTCCTGTGCATTGGATTAAAACCTCAATGTTATCAGCTTTCCCAGCTATCTTCTGCCAACTACAAAACACCTCCACCTGTGTAATGAAAATGAGGAGTGGGTGTTTGTAGTCCAAATCATGAGATAAGTCTAGGATGCTCCTCCAGCGATAGAGTTCAGTGAGTGAGTGTTGTCAGTGGCGTCACAAGGGGGGTGCGGCTCGCAACCGGGTGACACCAAAATGACTGACAGTCATTTTGGTGTCATCCCCCCCCCACCGCCTCTGAAAAGTCGGGCGCCCGGCAGGTATCAGAAGATCGACGCGCGTGCGCGATGACGTCATCGGCGAGTGGGCGGGGTGACACCCGGTAACCGCTCCGGGTGTCACCCAGCCTAGGGACGCCCCTGAGTGTTGTCACCCTAGGACAGGAAGTGTGTTACTGGCAGGATCACTAGGTGGAAATAAAAGGGAAAAATCCTGAAAAAAAGACAACTGCAGCCACGTGCAGTCTGGGTTTCTTCTCTATACAGGAGGGTGTACACATTGTGGACCCCCCTGTTGTAGTTACTTAAAGGAGAACTATGAGGGGGGTGATTTTCACTCAGCCTCATAATCTGAGCCGACCGATGACAATGAAACTCACACGCCGGCTCAATAGATCGGGAAGTGATAGAACACATACCGGCGCTCGCTCACTTCTCGATCATGTCCCTGCAGAGAGCGGTGACTGTCACTCACGGCTCCCCGCAGGGATTCCCCCCTCCCCGCTCTGATCCTCCAGCGCTGACTGGCGGATCGGACGGGGGGGGGGGGCGGGTACAGCTGGCTCTGCCTCTAGATAGGCAGAGCCAGCTGTCAATCACGCAGCTGGGTGGATCCAGAGAGATTTGTCGGAATCCGTTCCGGCTGCGGCGTCTCAGTATACCGCGAGCTGTAGCTCCCTATATACTGAGCCTAGGGTGACGGGAGGACGCTAGTTTGTGTCCTCCCGTTACCCTGAGGAGAACTATGGGGAAAAACACTGACCCCATAGTTCTCCTTTAATCTCACTGTTGGTGTGTTGCCATTTTATATGCAGTTTTAACATCTCTATGCCGGTGATTTGACAACCATTCCCACCCTCAGTCATGTGAATCAATGTATCACCACCCAGGCAGACACAAAGGATGGGATTATGGAAGTAGAATGTGGGGTTCCTCAACGTTCACATCTCCATTCCTGTTCTCAGACAATCAACATCTACACATTCCATGGTGATTGGAATGAAGTGTCTGTACTATCTGTGTGGATATACATGCCCGGTTATGCTCCTGGTATGGTGGGGGTATAAATGCCCGGGTATGTTCCTGGTATGGTGGGCATATAAATGTTGGGGGTATGTTCCTGATATTGTGGGGATATAAATGTTGGGGTATATTCCTGGTACGGTGATAATATAAATATTGGGGTATATTCCTGGTATGGTGGGGGTATAAATGTTGGGGTATGTTCCTGGTATGGTGGGGGTATAAATGTTGGGGTATGATCCTGGTATGGTGGGGGTATAAATGTTGGGGTATGTTCCTGGTATGGTGGGGATTCAAATGTTGGGGTATGATCCTGGTATGGTGGGGGTATAAATGTTGGGGTGTGTTCCTGGTATGGTGGGGGTATAAATGTTGGGGTATATTCCTGGTACGGTGATAATATAAATATTGGGGTATATTCCTGGTATGGTGGGGGTATAAATGTTGGGGTATGTTCCTGGTATGGTGGGGGTATAAATGTTGGGGTATGATCCTGGTATGGTGGGGGTATAAATGTTGTGGTATGTTCCTGGTATGGTGGGGTATAAATGTTGGGGTATTGTTCTGGTATGGTGGGGGGATAAATTCTGGGGTATATTCCTGGTATGGCGGGGGGTAAAATGTGTACTGGAATGGTGGGGTATAAATGTTGGGGTATGTTCCTGGTATGGTGTGGGTATAAATATTGGGGTATGTTCTTGGTATGGTGGGGTTATAAATATTGGGGTATGTTCCTGGTATGGTGGGGGTATAAATATTGGGGTATGTTCCTGGTATAGTGGGGTGTAAATACTGGGGTATGTTCCTGCTATAGTGGGGGTATAAATGTTGGGGTATATTCCTAGTGTAGTGGGGGTATAAATACTGGGGTATGTTCCTGGTATAGTGGGGTATATATGTTGGGCTATATTCCTGGTATAGTGGGGTGTAAATGCTGGGGTATGTGATTAATACTCGCTCCACCATGACCTGGACACATGAGAACCTTCACAGATATATTTGTATTATTACCTTCTCAGAAGAACCACTTCCACCATCCCACTCTGGAACCACAACATGGATAACAGTGTCACAGGACAGGTTACAGCCGTTGGTAATGAATATGGAGCCGTCTGCCACCTCCTTCCCCTTGCTCTCCGTATCCAGAAGATTCTGGAGGTTGTCTCCGGCCTTCCTGAACAGAGCCTTAGATACGGCTCCAGAACGAAGATCGAGGTCCTTCCCCACACTGTTCACAACAACATCGGCCTACAGAAGGAAACAACATGACTATTGTACTGTGATAGCTCAGAGCAGACTCACTCCTGACCCATTAATGGTCACCTAGAAAAGAGAAGTTGCAGATATAAATGTTGTCACCAGAACTTCCGGGGGGCTGTGTTTATTTTGTGTGGAAGTATAATAATGAGGGTTAAATTGGATGAACATTTTTGAAGCTGAACCCCAAGGATGTGTTAAAAGTACACAACGTGCATCTGCTCCTTTATATTACAATCACAGGATGAGACATGTCCTGGACCAAGATGTATTATTCATCTGCAATTTAGCCTGAGGAGGGGGGGGGTGAGGGGGGTGATAAGGCCCCTGTGACAAGCAGGATGAAAAGCCCCCAGTGTGATAGCGTAGTGCAGGTGACAGGTTCTCTTTATGGAGATATCAGGGGTCTGTTGGACCACCTAATGTCACTTCTAAACTCCATTGACAATCTGTGCTCCATTAGCTTTGGAGGGGGCCAGGCAATGACAAACTTTGAAACCAGAATATCTGTAAAAAATAAGTCAAGGCAACTGGACTTGCTGTATTTTTCTTGAAGACGTTTCACTGGCCATCAAGAAAAATACAGCAAGTCCAGTTGCCTTGACTTATTTTTTTACAGATATGCCATGTGACCCGGATGAATGAGAACCTTCACGGACATTTTGAAACCAGAAGTCACATAAAGCTGATTGCTTCCAGGTTGACAGCAGCCAGGGCGAGGGGGATCAACGAGTGGACATTTGCTGGGCTCCCTCCACCCTCCCTGCTAACACTCACCATGGAGGTTCCTGGCACCCAGGAGGAATGGTTGAGCTTGGGATACATGGTCTCAAGTGGGGGGTGGGGGGGCATCAGTTACTTTACCACACACAGAGAAGTGATCAGATGACTTTACAGTTGCTCAAATCACTTCCAGTAAAAAGTTGATGGCACTATAGCAGCTAGGAGTTTGTTTACAGACGCATGCTACAGCCAATGTATGACATATCGTGGTGGCAGCAAAAGGGGTCATTTGCCTGTTGCTCACTTAAAAACACCATCTAAAGCGACTCTGTCCACAGGGTAACAAGGCCCATGTTGACCTGCATAATACTTACTGTTGTATCCTCAATATTGCCTTGTATTTTATTGACGCGCACTCCTTCTTTAGTGACCACCCTAGTAAGGTCACCTTTTCCCATTGTGTCCTCTCTCTTCTTCTTGTGATACTTTTTCTTTGATTTCTTTGGGGTGACCTCCATGATCTCCTCTCCGTACTCTTCCTTCAGGGCTTTGGTTAAAGCCTTTAGGATCTGGTCATCGTTGTCTACAAGATGGATGTTTTTGATGCTTGTGATGGCCTCTTCTTGGTTTTCTGTGTATAGTTTGATGGATTTTGGAATATTTTCCACGCACATGTCTGCAGGAATTCCAGAGACTACGAAACTCTGCACAGAAATTGCAGCAGAAGTGAGACCGTTCTCTTCAGCCACCTTCAAGCTGCAAGTTATCGTTTTCCGTAGAAGACGCTCAGATTTTGAATCTGCCTTTCCACTCCATTTAGGACCGACGGCATGAATCACGTTCTCACAGGGCAAACTAGCGGCACCTGTAATGACACACTCCCCCGGCTCCAGCTCTCCTTCTTTCTGAACAATACCTTCACATTCTTTTTGAAGTTTGGGTCCTGCTGCTTTCAGCAAATCCAGTGCTGGTCCCCCAGTGGGCTTTAAATCCCTATTTGATGCAATAATGATGACATCAGCGCTGTGCTGGCACAGGTCACCCTTATATACCACCATTGTGACTTCATTTTGGAGGTTGACTTGGCAAAGAGGTTCACCTTGGTTAAGTTGATGGCCTGAACTTCTGCCATCTCCATCCTTCTGAAAATATATCACACAGCTGAATTTATTCTTTGCTGTTGTAATGTACATGTCTTCATTGTCAATACAGAATTTTTTGGCTCCGGGTTTATCAATGCTTAATGTGTCAGAATGAAGTGTAGACTCAATTTTTGTTACATAGTTTTCTGCCTCCTTTACATATATCTCTGTACCAGACAAAAAGATGATGTTCTGTTTCTTTACCACCTTCACATTCTGTAATATTCTTTTCCATTCCCGATTCTTTTCTTCCTCTATAAACTGCAGAACTGCCACTGACTTCAGCTTGATGTCCCTCGTCACGAAAGCATTCCTCTCCAGAAAGTCACGGATTTGCTGGTAGGCTTCTTCTGCCGGTAACGATAGACCAGCGATCACCACTTCAGTTCCATCCCCCACAGGGAACTCCTCTATGGAAACTTTCCTCCCCTGAGCGTTACACGATTCATTTAGAAAAATCTTTAAACTTCCCCACTCGGGACTGTGAGTGATAGTTTTATCCTCAACAGAAATCCGCTTACAGACCAATTCTTTCATCACGGTTTCCTCAGCGTTTCTCAGATCTTCATCAGAGTAACCAGTTATCATGACTGTATTGTCTTCCACCTGAAATGTTGCTCTAATGTTCTTACTTGTAAGAAGACTACATGACAGTTCTTCGTTGTCTGCTGCCATCAGAAACTGGATGATGTGTGGATCGAGGTGAATAGGTTTGGACCTCAGCTCTTGGAGAGTATTGAGAATTTCACATTTGGCAGTAAGCACTTGATCTTTTGGCCCATGAAGTTTGATTGTCTCAGAAGCTCCATCATAGCCAATCTTCACATGTGGACAATCTTCCAGGATGCTTTTCTCCAGACCATGTGCAAACATTACTTTATAAGCCGCGGGTTCAAGCCGCACATCTTCTACCACTCTGCTCAGTTGTCTAGTGGTTCCTTCTACTAGGTTTCTGAATATTGGCTCAATCTTCATAACTTCTTCTGAAATGCCCACAATATAAGCCTTTTCTGCACCTAAGACTGGTTTTATGAGGAGGCCATCATATGATGAACTGGATATTTTTTCTTTGATGGCTTCCCACACCGGCGGCTTCAGGTCACACTCTATGACTTTATACTTCGACATAAGAAGTGAGAACTGGGCGTTGACATTATTGCTCCAGGTCGGTACTATCTTTGCCAGGGTGCGTAGATGTGTGGAGAGGTTGCTGGGAAAAGACAGTGTAATGACAGGGTTGTGGTGGCCTGGATCTGGCCATTCCACGTGGCAACAGTGATCTGCCATTTGCTTCTCCATATTTTGTTTTAGTTGTGCCGTGTTATAGATAAACTCCAGTACATGTGCGCTGATGGGGTATTTTACAGGGCCAGGTGTCGTGATATGCGCTTCTCTCTTTCCGTACAGCCATTGTCCAATGGACGGGTAATACGGGTAAACTGATAGGGCCGAGTTGTCAAATGTATGCTGCTTTGCCAGAACTGTCTTTACAACTGCAAGAAATAGACAAACATTGTATTAGTAACAGAAACGGTCTCATTAAAAGGTTCTTGTTTTCCTTACCACCCGAGCAGTTTTCTCCCTTCATGTCTCTAGTGTGGTATGTTGGAGAACATCTTTTTATTCAGATAGTTTTTGGCCATGACCTCTAAACCATTTACAACTGAAGCAAATAATTAACTAAAACGGATAACCTCGTTGGGATCTTAGATTTTTTTTAGAATCCCGTGTGACTGAAATGATGTGTTTGGGTATGCATGATATTATGAACCATGTGGCAGGATGGTTTTGGTCTAAACTGATAGTATGCTGGCTATATAAGGGGGCACCTTTTAATGGTGCAGCACAAACTCTGATATTGGACTGTTGTCTAAATTAAAGGAGAACTATGAGGTCAGGGCTTTTCCCCATAGTTCTCCGAAGGGTAACGGGAGGACACAAACTAGCATCCTCCCATCACCCAAAGCTCAGTATATAGGGAGCTACAGCTCGCGGTATACTGAGATGCTGCAGCTGAAACGGATCCCGACAATTATGTCTGGATCCGCCCAGCTGCGTGAGTGACAGCTGGCTCTGCCTATCTAGAGGCAGAGCCAGCTGTACCCGCCCCTCCCCCGTCCGTTCCGCCAGTCAGCGCTGGAGGATCGGACAAGGGAGGGGAGAATCCAGTCACTCCCCTGTCATGGCTCTCTTCATTGACAGGATCAAGAAGTGAGCGAGCGCCGGTATGTGTTCACTCACTTCCCGATCTACTGAGCCAACCTGTGACAGTCTCAGTGTCTCAGATTATGAGGCTGAGTGAAAAGCACCCCCCTCATAGTTCTCCTTTAATGTAAACTCACAATCTTCCCAGCGCAAATGAATCACAGAGCATGCCTTCCTCCTTAATTGATTACAGCGGTGCCCGCCCCTCCCCCGTCCGTTCCGCCAGTCAGCGCTGGAGGATCGGACAAGGGAGGGGAGAATCCAGTCACTCCCCTGTCATGGCTCTCTTCATTGACAGGATCAAGAAGTGAGCGAGCGCCGGTATGTGTTCACTCACTTCCCGATCTACTGAGCCAACCTGTGACAGTCTCAGTGTCTCAGATTATGAGGCTGAGTGAAAAGCACCCCCCTCATAGTTCTCCTTTAATGTAAACTCACAATCTTCCCAGCGCAAATGAATCACAGAGCATGCCTTCCTCCTTAATTGATTCCTCCTGATCACACTGGGGCAGCTCCACAAGGCAGGAACCTTAACATCTATAGAATGACAAAAAAAGGAGAGCGCTCTCTTTTTTGTCACTCTATACTATTGTCTAAATTAGCATATACTTGTAGACAATCAAGAGCAGTACCAAGTTTTACTTCTACTGAATATCACTATGTTTCATACATGGGTGGAGAGCCAGGACAGCCTCCCACTCTCCAGCGCCCAAAGCGGGTGCCTCTGCTGCCATTGTTTCCACTGAGCCCTGCCCAGAGGAGGAGATAAGTGCTCCTATGTTTCCTACACAGTTCCTTCACAGATAAACATACCTGGTGCGGACCCCTCGTCTAATCAATTCTTACTTCCTGACATCCAGCTACCCAAAGGAGATTTCTGTACACATATCCATCTCTTCCTGCAGTGCCATCCAGTACATCCCATTCTTCCCCAGCTCTGGTTCTATCAATACCAGCTCACGCCTCCTACTAGTGGACCAAAGCCTCAATAGGTGAGTATGCTGTTATGGACCTGGCTGTGATTTAATCCTTTTCTCACTACATGTTTGAAATTCCAGTTAATGGGGCAGTGCACCCAAACCTGGTCATTGACAGGTCTATTCACTAAAGGGTGAAGAGTTTGGAGAAGTGAACAATCTAGGACAACGTAGCTGAGCTGGAAAGTGAGCTGAATTGGATAATTTTTCCAAATCAGCAATTTTGGCCTAAATTCTTCACTTCTCCTGCCTTCTCCAAACCCTTCACCCTTTAGTGAATAGACCTGTTAGTTTTTGCTAGTTGCAGGAATAAAAAAATATAATATTCTGGTGACTGTATGAAGATTTTTTTATGATATTATTCAACAAATGAATTGCTGCATACAACAACATTATTTTGGTAATGATCCTGAAATGAAATTATTAATAATAATAACAATAATAGTAAAGAAATGAGGATAATTGTGTGGTTTTCTCTACCATTAGTGGTCAGAAATTACCCTTTACCTTGGGCGTCAGTGACAAGTTGCCCCCTTGTATTGATGGTTAGTGTAGGTGGGAGGTCAGTTCACATCTGGACACTGCTGAAGGAACCTCTATAAACCTCAGGAGAAACCCTAGAGTGTCATGGAACCATGGCTAAGAAAGGCTGGTCTAGATGAACCTACAGCTTGTAGGTTTCCTGTGGTGCCTTCAGATTATTGTGACTAAGACAGGAGCCTCTGTAGACTATCTTTTTGTACAGGAACAATATATAACTTTAAACACACAGACTGAAAGCTTTTACCTTCAGCACTAGAGAATGTAATGATGGCAGCACCTTCTTCCAGTAACATCTCTTTCTTCTCTATCGGTCCACCTCCATGCTTCACACTCTCAAAGTAAAGTTCAAAGTAGCCCTCCGATGTGCTGGCCGGGAGACCCTCCACCCTGATGCTCCTGGTTTTCTCCAGATATTTAGCTCTCATGTTTTGCTGTTTGATTCTTGGACTTCCAGAAAACCTTCCAATGAAGTCTGGAACATCTGTGAGAAGACAAATCACAATCAGCTATACAAATGAATAATATGTGCAGACATTTTGTTTTTCTCTTTGGAGTACAGTGGAGAAGCACTAGAACTTATATTGCCAATTAACAAAATAAACCACTAAGGGTGCAGGACAAGGACTGCCAATCAAACTACTACAGACTCAGCTGTCCACGAAACAAATGTACAAACACATCAAAATGTATCCCTAAACCCCAAATATCATATAAAATCACAACTCAACCACAAAGTATGATTGTATGAACACCCCTCCCATGGGATACCCCTACACTTAAAACATGTAAAAACTGTTGAAAACAAACCCACCAGCATGGTTCCAAATATATCAAATATTATCCAGCTCACAAAGGGGACTTACAATGAGCCCTTGCACATTTTTAATGCATTCAATGAATGTGCCTCAAATCGCACACATGGCACGCTTTCACAGCATGCTTAGGTGTGAACAGGGTCCAAAGGTGGGATCATACCAGATACCTTGACAAGGCAATTCGCATTGCATGCTGCTGGGGCGGTAAGCGCTCAGAAAAATACTGCGTGTAGTACTTTTTTTCAGTGCAGCGAGATGGGACACGGCACAACCACCTCACACCAGAGTGCCAGATTGATAACCAGTAGGGAGAGGTATGCGGCCCGCCTGGAGATAGTGGGTGAAGGCTTTCAGGGTGGCGTGGGAGGCTGGACTCAGAGAGAGGGAGGCAGGCAGCCTCTGAATAAGAGGCAATTTTAATAAATTATGCAATATGTTTTACTGTAATAATTTGCAGATATTATCGCGGCTGTCTATGGAAACCTTTCATGCAGAGTAGCTAGTGATGGCAATCATTGGCCGGCTATGTCATGGTCAATGTCTTCTGCTCCCAAACATCAGTGATGCAAAACAAATGGCAAACGCACTCATCAATGTGTCGCCATCTCTAAGCAAGGTGCACATGGAAGGGCTTTATACAGTACAACAGCACAAAGTTTCCCAGCACACTCACAAGCCATTTGCCATTTGTTTTGCTTGACTGATTTGGTGCAGTGACGCATACGGGGGTCTCAGCTGCCGTTGTGATGTGCGGGGGTCCCTTGTGCGTTCCTGCGCCTTTAAGAAGGTTGGGCTTCCTCCTGACAAACCTGCACCCAATTTAATCTTTTGCTACATGTGCTCCAAGATGGAGACTCTCATAAATTAGAGTTAGGACCGCACTATATAGAGGTGCCTTGGCGCAGCTGTGCGGCTTTCACATTTTCTGCAGAAGATGTGTATCTAAACCTCTGTTTTTAAAATTAGCGGTGAGACAAGTTTTTTTGCATGTTGGCTGGTGAGTGTGCGGGGAAACTTTTTGCTGTCAAACATCAGTGATGTCTTCACAGACACTGACCATGCACTAGGCTGTGATTGTGTATGCATATGTGAAAGTGTTCTCCTCCAACTACCTATCTGACATCTGTGGGCAGCTTTTCCTTTGTAATCTGGAAGAGCGCCACAAATCTTGGCTTGTTGTATGAGTGGATGTCTGCACTCTCACTGTAGTAAAGGGTCTTTGTTTTTGTCCGGCCTTAAAACTTTTTTTTTAATGCTAAGGGATGAGCTTTGTAGAATGGCCCCCTCAGTGGGGGAGATGTGTGTGTATCGCGTCTTTCCCAGGAGCACAATGAACCAGATATCTCACCGTTTTCAGAATTGAAGGTAACAACAGCAGATTTGATCTCCGGAATCCTTTCGACATAGAAGTCTGTGTCCTCGTTCTTTTCACTGATATTCTCCACCAAGAGGTTCAACATCTCAGGAGTGCAGCTGTCCTTGAGGTTCTCAATCAGAACCACAGAGGACGTGGGGCACTGTGTCGCCTCATCATCTTCTCTGCTGGGGTTCTCTGTAAAAGGCAAAGAAGTAGTGACAACCCCCAACATGTAAAGCCTTTTCCTGGTCTCTACTGTTGCCAGTTACAACTTCCTAAAAACAATGGACAGCGGGCAGCCATGGACACATGACCCAAATAAAAGAAATACTTCTAAGGAAAGAGCTTTCTATAAATATGTAAGTTTACATTTGTGTCTATGGGTGGGGGCAAGCACTGAGAAACATCTGAATAGGTTGGCACTATATTGTGGCCTGGCGTGGTAGAAGTTGGGTAGGTTGGTGGAAGTCTTTGTGCTGTTTGGTGAAGTTTCATATGACTTTTGTTATCTCGTACGCACCATTTCATCCGCATCAGACAACCACTGAGGGCTTGTTCACACCAAGCGCATTCCAGGAGCAGAGCGGAGCAGTTATAGACCGGATCAAAACTGCGTCCAATGTATTCCAATGGTATTTTGGGCTGTAATTCACACCGCAGCGTTCCGTTCCAGAGCATGTAAAAAAACGGCAGCAAGCCCTATTTTACCTGCCCCCCCCCCCCCGCGTTTTACGGGGTCCCCCCCTTCTCTCGCGCCG